ACCTTTTAAAAAGGAGCAGAGGTGGCAGTGGCCATGGTAACCCCTGGGAGAGCAGTTCCCTTCTGTGGGGACAGTAATAATACATGAATGATAATTAATAACACTAATAATTGCAGATACTCTATAAAGTGCCTACTCTGTACCAGGTACTTCCTTTATATTATTCCATTTAATCCATGAGGCAGATATTATTCTCCCCATTTTGTAAATGAGAAATTGAGCTCAGAGAGACTAAGTAACTTGTCCAAAGTCATACAGCTAGTGGGGGTGGTGGTGGGTGAGTGTAAAGACGAACCCAGACACTCTGGCTTCTAAGCCAATACCCATGACCCTACACAATCTTGCAGAAAAGGCTTATGTGGTTGAAGCAGAGGGTTGGCTTGTGGGCAGGGAGGAAGGAAATGCTGATTGAGAGTGGGCAGTGAGACTGTTGCAGGCTGGGCTGCCCCTCTATTCCCCCAAGTAGTCAAGAGAGGACTGGGAACAGTGGAGTGATAAGCAGCCCGAGGCCTGGGGCTAACAGAGACAGTGAGTCATGAGGGGAGCAGTCTGGGTGATGGAGAGAACTCCAGTCTGGGCTCCCAAAGGCTGAGTTCTAATCAGGGTTTTATCTGCAACTTGCTGTGTGACTTCGGGCAAGTCACTCACCTCTCTGGGTATTTGAATGATTGCTAATGTCTCCTGTCACTCTTTTATTTGAGGACTCTGGGATTTTGGGGGTGGCCAGTCACTTCTGTACTTTCCTCCTTCTCGGAAAGATGTAAAAAGTACAGGTTCCTTCATGAGCCGCCTGCTTGAGTTCACAGTCTGAGGGTTCCCAGGCCGCGTGGCGGGTGATTGGAGGCCGTGCTCAGCGGAGAACAGGCTGGACAATGAGGAAAGAGCAGAACAGAAGGTTTTCTGCCCCAGCTCGACCAGCTAATCAATCACCTCCTCTCTTGTTCCCTTAGAGCCACAGGGATTCTGGGGACCTACAGTGGGAGAACGGGCACCTGTGAGCCCGTGGCAGTCTCAGGTAGGGCTAGGTGCTGGGCACAGCTCTGGCACATGGTCTGGGCTGGGCAGGGGCCGGGTGTGGGGGAGTAGCAGGCTGGCTGTAGTGTGCTGGAGAAAGAGGCTTCTCCTTCTTGGGAGGACTTGCCAGGGGAAAAGACAAGCCTTGGCTACTTGATGCCCTCGAGATACAAGGATCTGGGCTGGGTTCTTCAAGTGGAGAAGGAACTGGGAAAAAATCCAGGGCATGGGAGTCAGAGAGGTTCAACTGAATCTGGACAGGTGCCATACTTTCAAGTCACGGGTGAGTCATTTACACTCGAGCCTTAGTTTCCTCTGCTGAAAAATGGGGCTAAGAACGCCCACCTTGAAGGGTTGGTGAGAGAATTAAAGAAGGGGATACAAATGAAGTGTCTTGTGTAGAGCCTGCCAAAAAGTAAATAATGAATGGTGGCTGCTATTATTATTGTTGCTGTTGCTGTTGTTAATAATAATAATAGATGGGGACCTGGAAGTTAGGTTTTGCTACCTTCTGGCTGTGTGACTCCCATACCTCTCTGGTTTCTTCTCTGTAAGAGGAAGGGGTGGCACCCACTGATCTTGAGGCTCCTTCCTGCTCTGACAGCCTCCAGGATATGAATAGATGGGGCTGGGGCCCCGGAGGAGTTTAATGACTCAACAGCTAGAAAGGTTAAGCTTTCCCAGAAAAGAGTCTCTGTTTGTATTTGATGAACTGAGGGCCCACAAAGGAAGGGTTTCCTGGCTGGCAGGCCAGGGATGAGGGAGCTGGAGGAATCCTGGCAGCCAGTGACTAACCAGGTGAATGACTAACTCAGACCCTACCGACCCTCAACCAATCAGGGCTGCCTGTGAGCGCTCTGCAAGCTGGCATCACTGAACACGTCTTGGCCATGCCAGTCCCGGCTGGCTCTGGGCTTCACAGCATATGGAGGTAGAGGAAGCAGCCAAGAGACCAGCAGGGGAAAGAGCACTGGGCTTGGAGTCAAAAGACCCAGCTTCTTGCTCTAACTCTGCTGCTCACCAGCTGCACGACTTCAGGGGAGTCCCTTCCCTTTCCCGAGCCTCCATGCCTTCATCTGTGCAACGGAGCTAACAACACCTGCCCTGGCAACATCCCTGAGCTATGAAGGCTGAGACTCGAGAGATGAGATGAAAGTGCATTGTGATCACTAAAGTACTGAATGAATGGGAAGTTCTGTCACTATTCTATCCTGATGGGACTCCCAGTGCCTCAGGAGACCCACTTGGGTCCCCAAAGGGGTGAGGTGGACAGAGGCTGTTGCCTTTGGGTTTGGGGTCAAGATCAGTCAAATATAGGGCCCCTTTCAGCCATCTGATCACAGCCCAAAGAGGTTTTTCTTAGAGTAGAGCTCCCTTGGACAGCTTCCAGCCGGTGTGAGAGGTGACAAAAAGCCCGGGATGGTTGGGTGGGGCAGGGGGTGGGCTGTGCCAGCCTGGGCCCCCTCCCCCAGAACAAGGGTGGTGCTTTGATGCTGTCTTTCCTCTTGCCCAGCACTTTATGAATAAATAATCACCAGAACCGCACTCTGTCTGCCTATACCCCCAGCTTTTAGTGTCTCTCTTGTGAGGACTACAAGCACTGTGGAAAACAGCAGGGATGGAGGGGAGGACAATGCCCTCTCATTTCTGCACACCTTAAACCCATCACTAGCCTCCTCTGAGTGCTCGTGTGGGCCGCTGGGTACTGTGCCAACACTGGGAGCCTGGAGATGGGAACCACGGGGCCCTGTGCACATGGAGGTTAATTACAGTGTAGTGAAAGAGACAAAACACATCCCCCAAAATGTAAATAACCATGCGAAAGAGCCTACACTGTGTCACCCATGTCATCCTGACAGTAATCCTGCAATTGGCCAGAGCACTGGCCTGGGATGGTCTGGGAGACTTCAAGAAGGAGGTGGGATTTGAGCTGGACCTGGAAGGTTGGCTTGGACAGGATAACTAGAAGATAGAGAGAAAGGCATGCCAAACAGCTACACTTAAGGTGTTCTCAGGGGACAGTTTGGCTGCAGTGGAGGGATGATGTCAGTAAGAAGTGAGAAATGAAGGTAGACATAGAGATTGGAGCCAGGTATGAAGGTCCTTAAAATTCGGGATAAGGAGTATGGACCAGATTTCACAGACAGTGGGGAGCCATTGAGGGTTGCTGAGAAGGGTCTTGGGTTGGTCAGAGCTGTGCTTTGGGGATATTCTTTCTGGCAGCATTGTCCAGGGGAGTTTGCCCTGTGAGAGGAACGAGGTTAGAGACAAGGAGATCAGTTGGGAGGTTACTGTGGACCATGGGACTGAGAAAGACAGGAGGCATATAACTAAGGGCATGATGTGTGGGAAGAGGGAGAAGAAAGGCCTGAGGATATTCAGTGCTCTTGAATCCCCGGCAGGCGGTAGGGAGATGGAGAAGAGAGAAGACCACAGACCAGACCTGGTCTGGTCCTTCCCAGGAAAGCAGGCTTCTCTTTGAGCAGGCCTGAGTCTGACCATCTGGCCCTAAACTCACAGGGTCAGCAGGACCCAGAGGTGCCCCTACTTGAGCCACATTCACTCCTGGGGCCCTTTCCTTCCTCTTGTAAGAGAGGAATGCAGAAACGACATAACATAGCTCCCTGTGGTCCCCAGAGAACAGTGGAGCCTGGGGAATGGAGTCCTGCAGGGGACAGACTTCAGGGAAAGCATTCAGTCCTGCCTTTTACCCCCTCAACTCCTGTTGACTCCCAGGAAAACACTGCCATCTTGTCATGGGCTATGCCAAATAGCACCCAGGCCCTGGGAGCTCAGCCAAGGCAAGGAGGGCGACCAGGGAGAAGAGAAAGAATGGGAAAGATGGAGGAAACATCTCCTGGAGGCAACCCAATGGGCTCTGGGTAAAGGTGGGCTTCCAATCTGGGAATCTGAGCATGTCAGGACTGGGAAGAGCCCTTGAGATCACTTCCACCACCCCTCATCTTCTGGAGGTGAGCCTGAGACCCAGGTAGGGGGAGGGACTTGCCCAAGGTCATACAGCGGGAGAAGAGATGGAACTGGGCTGGAATCACAGGGTCTTGGGAGCGGGTAAGCTGTTTACTCCTCTTTGGACAGTTTGATAGCACATCAAAGACCTCACTGGAGATTCCTTTCCTGGACAACAGTTTGTGTCTCTTCTGTGTGTGTGCCCATGTATGCCCTGTGTGTGCTGGTGTGTGCACCTGTGTGTGTGTGCCTGTGCCTAGCTTGCAAGAGAGTCTGAGTGTGTGTGGCCTCCTGCACTGTAGTCTGCTCTCGCTTGGAGAAAAGAACTGGGGCCATTCCTGTGAGGTGACTGTTTTCCTGGGACAGCAGAGAAGGCAGCGGACAGGACTGGCTCTGGTTTCCAGTACCAGCTCTGCTGCCGTAAGAAAATTAAAGTCACTGGCTGGCGATGCCCAAACTCCCCAAGCTGGACACACACACACCCCATGCGGCACTCACAGTCCCAGTTTCAGGGTGTTTCAGGCACCCAGAGTGGCCCGGAGCGCCGTGGAGTGCCGAGTACCTGCACCTATACATCTCCCAGGAGCCCTAGCCGGTGTAGACACGCCAAGTGCGGAAGCCCATCTTCAGGGACACGGAGGAATCGCGCGCTCCCCGCCGCTCACACTCAGCGCCCTGCTCCAGGGCCTGGCCGGGCCACACCCCTCCTCCCCAGCCTCCTCGGTCGTTCCTGCCCCTCTCACACACTTCAGAGTCCCTTGGGGCCTTCGCGCAGCCTGGCAGGGACAAGTTAGGGCTGGCCCTCCGGGAGAGTCAGGTCCGGAGCCAGGAATCGACGCCTCCCCCGAGTCCTGTCCCTGCGGAGCAGACACGGCAGGCTGAACTCGGGTTTCTGGGAGCGCAGGGTTGGGCGCCTAGACCCCTTCCGGCGGAACCCCCCAGCCCTGGTCGGCTCCGGGCCACCCCGGGACCCGGCGCCCAGCCCCCGGGTGCCCGCCCCCCGCCTGGCGAGTAGTTACCGATGGTGGTGATGACGGTGATGGCGAAGTAGAAAGAGCCGGCGAAGCGCCACTGCACGCCGGCCTTGTGTGGCTTGAGGCGCAGCACGACGCGCTCGAGCTCCTCGTAGCCGCCTTGGCTGAGGTTGTAGCGCGCCCGCAGCTCCTGCTGCCGCAGCTCCAGCCGCTGCCGCTCGATCATCTCGGGCTCCGACTCCAGCGCGTCGAAGACCGCGGCGCCCACCAGCAGGTAGGTGAAGGTGCACACGATGAGCGCCAGCGTGCGCACGTTCTGCCGCTTCATCGTCCCGCCCGGGCCGCCGCCGGCCCCCCGGCGCCCCCGGCCAGCGCCCCGGCCCCGGCCGCCGCTGCTGCTGCCCCGGAGGCGGCCTGGGGCATGGCTGCGCTCGCTGCTCCCCGCGCCGGGCTCTCGCTCCGCGCCCCGGGGCCGCCGCCTCCAATGCCGCCGCCGCCGCCGCCGCGGAGCTGTCCCTTCAGCACCACCCACCGCCCTCCTCCGCCCGGCCCCGCTCCCGCCCCCCGCCCCCCGCCCGCCGGCCGCCTCCTCCCGCCAGCCCTCCCGCCCAGCCAAATAAGGACTGGGGAGACGCGCTGAGGGAGGGAGGAGGGGGGCTGGCGGAGGGGGAGGGGTGGGGGAGCGAGCGGGAGAGCTGCGGAGAGACCGGGCAGGACGGAGAGAGAGAGACCCGGAGAAAGAGATAACAAGACAGAGAAACGCACATAACTACAGAGGAAGAGAGAGAAAAAGAGGTAGGGGGGGTGTGACAGACAAGGAGATAAAACCAGAGGTAGACTCAGACACAGAAAAAGAAGAGGCAGGCAGAGAAATACAGAGCGAGAGAGGCAGAGAGTGAAAGATGGAGACAGAAAGAGCGGCAGAATGAGACTGGAGACCTGGATAGCTGGAGATAAAACGACGACATGAAAAGCCAGGAAGGGAAAAGGAACAAGAGCGACTCCCACGCCACCTGCATCCCTCCACCACAGTCACAGCACGCCATAACTGGAAGGACCTCGGGCCTTGCTGTCCTGCCCTTTATTATGTGGATGAGGAAACTGAGGCACAGAGAGGTTAAGTGACATGCAAAGGCACACAGTGAGTTAGTGCCAGCACTAGGACTCAGCCAAGCTTTCCCTCCTCCCAGGCCACACCCCTCCGGCTGCCTTAGAAACAGGAGGGCACAGCTGTGGACCTGTGGCCAACGCCCAAGGGAAAGCCTTGGAACTGGCTGAGAAGGCACAGGCTGGTAGCTGAGGCCAAGAGCACCAGTCCCAGGGTCTCCCACTCTGCTCCCCAGGGGCTATCAAGCTGTCTTGACATCCATGGCCCGAGTCCTGCACCAGTGGGCCAGGCTGGGCTGGAGCTGGGCTGCCAGAGACAGCACCAGACACCATCACGGGGCACCCCAACAGAACTAGGATCCAGCTGAAATAGGTCAGATGAGGCCCAGAGCAGGAGGCTGGCTGACAGACTGCAGGAAGCCGAAGGCCTCCCTCTGCCTCAGTTTCTTCATTTGTAAACATGGTGGCAGTGGTGGGGAGGAGAGGCAGGCTGTGGGACCTCAGGCAAGGCGTCACTGCCCCTCTCAGAGTCTCACTTCCTTATCTCCCCGATGAGGTGCCATGGCAGATGATCCCACAGGCCTCGCTTAGCTCCAAACAACTCCAGACTTGGATGGGCTGAGTGAGCAGAATGATCGGAATGTAAATCCCACTGCCAAGGAGGGTCAAAAAGTCTTTCACGGGACCCTGGAATGGCCACGCGGAGAGACGTGGAAGAGGCCCCAAGGTCCCTGACTGAGGGTAGGCTCAGAAGGCAGCCAGCCAGAAGTGGGAGCTCCATCTGCCCACATCCTGCACTGACCTGTCATTGCTGGACACTATGCTGCTTCTCCCAGGAGTGCCGTCCACCCATTCCTTCCTTCAACCATTCATTCAACAAGTACGTATCAAGCATGTGCTGTGTAACAGGCTAGGCATGTTACGTTCATTATCTCTAGTCCTTACCACAATCTTGAAAGGTAGGTATGTTTATGTTCATTTTATAGATGGGGAAACTGAGGCTCAAGGCAGTGCAGAGAATTGCCCAAGTTCATTCAGCTGGAAGGAGACTTCAGTCTGCCTCCCAAACCCACGCTCTTCTCCATAGTGACTCCTCGAGTTTCGATTTCTTTTCATCTGTAATTGGGATAGCTAATGATACTAGCTCTTGAACAGATCGTTGTAAGGGATCAAAGGAGATCACACATGTGCAAATCCGGCACTACGAGGCTCTATAATGAGTTCTTCCCTCCTGGGACTCAGGTCTCTGACCAGAGCCTGATGGGCAGGCCTTGATTCATGGCATCTTGTCCCTACCTCCCCAAAGATCTTCTGATCGTGTCAGATTCTTTGATCTGACACACACTTTCTGGCCCTTTCCTTTGGCCATGAACACACACTATTGCAGGCTTTCCCCTTTGGCATCTTCTGGCTCTCTGGAAGAAAAGCACTGCCTTTCTTGGCTTCTCAGGGCTGGGGGTACAATTAGGTTCTGTTCTTCTGGCCACAACAACCTCAGAAGCCAATACTCCCAAAGCTGGTCTAGATGAGTGAGTGATTCGCTACACCTGGTTTTTAGCATGGAAGGCTGTGTGTCCAAGGTCTGCTCACTTCTGGCTGCAGGCCAGGCTGCTGTGCAGATGAAAGGTGAATGAGCTTTGGAAAAGGGAAAAAGCTCTCTTTAGGGGTAGGGCATTTATTGTTAATTATGATGAAGCTAGTTCTCACAGCACTCAGAACTGGAAGGACCTGTGGAGATCATCTAGCCCAACCCTCTCACTTTACAGAAGAGGAAACTGAGGCCCAGAGGGTAGGAAGGGGAATGCCCAAGGTCACATAGTGAGTGAGGAGGGGCCAGGACTCTTGTTCCGTAGCTGGGGTCTTTCCTGCAGCCCCCATTATGTATGAGATCAGGACACCTGCCAGTGGGGGAGCACAGCACAGCTACAGTGCCCTTGTAGCCCAGGAGGGCAGCCTGGGTCTCCTCCTCTTGCCATTCCTCCCTCCTTTCTTTTAAGAAGGGAGGACTGGTCGGGCAAGCCATGCTGGTGCCAATCGAGGTTTCTGAGTAGCCCCTGAGACCCGCAGGCAGGAGTCCCACTGGCCCAACCTTGACCTGGGTGGGATTATGCCAAAGGCCTCAAAGCCTATCCCTCTCCCCTCCATCCGGGACCCCTGGGACCTGCCTGTATCTCCCCATCCCCTGATGGGGATGCCCTACCCTCTGCCCCGGGCCAAGTGTCCGAAAGGATCTCTGTCAATCCTGTCTGTTAGAAATGATAAAAACTGCTCAGCTGTGGCTTCTCCTTGTTCTTCTATTTTTTTGAATCCGTGGGTGACTCCAGTGGAGGGAAGCTTTGGGCCAGGTAGAGAGAGATTTTTACATCCCTCAAATCGTTATCCTGTCAGCCTTCTGTGTGATGATTTTCTGAAATCCTGTCCAATACAGAGAGCACAGGGTGGAGAGGTAGGAGACCCAGCTGGGGTCTTATCTCTGCTGCCTGCTTGCTGAGGGACTTGGGGCCAGTCACTCCTTCTTCCTGGGCCTTGGTTTGCACATCCATAAATGGAGGAGTTTGGACCAGGGCATGTCTATGCTACCTTCGTTTACAACATCCCATGAGCTTCCTGGCCTGCTTCTGCTTCCATGGTTCTTCCAAGAATCAGGTGAAAAGAGGGTCTAGCCGCTGCTTTTAAGACTTTAGTTTGTGAGGAAAAGGACACAATCAGAGTTAGGAAAGATGGCACAGAGTTTAATTATCATTAGTTGCTGCATATTATTATGCACTAAACATTATACACATACTATTTTATAATCTTCCACTCCATTCCCCTCTAAGCTCTAAACACATCCAAGTACTATCATGCTTCATTCCTGGCTCATGTGGCTCCCTTAAGCTGGGGTGCCTGTAGCTCCTTGACTCCTCCATTTTCTGTCCTAATCAGGCTTCAAGATTCAACTCAAAGGACACTCCCTCCATGAAGCGTTCCTCAGTTGCCTCCAATCAGAACCATGGGCTCCCTTGTGCTTCCACAGCACCCTGTCTAAGCTTCAGTTCAGTAGATATTCCTCCTGCCCAGTAAATTAGTTGGCTCTTTAACATTTGTCTTCTGTACTGGCTCACTATCTTCTCCAGGGTGGAGACCGTTCTTACTCATGCTATGCCTCCTGCAGTGGGCAGCACAGTGCATTGCTCGTCAGAGTTGCTCCACACATTTCCTTGTGTCCTCAATGCACAAGTGAAGGCCTTAAAGTGTCCTACACCTGCTGGGTTAGACACCAGCAGTGTCAGTGGGCACAGTGGTACAGACGACCACAGAATCTGCAGGCAGGAAAACCCTGGCAATTGGCTTCTGTGACTCTTTGCAGACAGACCCTTCTAAATCTGGAGCAAGCCCTTCCTAGTTTAGCGGGGGAGGAAAAAGACAGATGTGAGTGTCCGAAGGCCTGAGGAAGCATGTGGAGGGGGCGTTGAACTTGGAGTTGGGACACCTGGAGCTGAGTCCCCGTGCTGCCGCCAACTCCCAACTAGCTGGGTAGACTTGCAAGAGTCATATGGCATCTCTTTCTTTTTCTATAGGTTGCCTCAGTTTCCTTTCCTACAGGGTGAAAGGGTTGACTATCTTGAAAAGTTCCTTCCTGCTTTGACATTCTTTGATGTTAATGACAGACCTGGTCCTGTGACCAGCAATGCTCATTGTACAATGGCCAAGAATGTGGTCTGAAGGATGAGGGGCCCAGAGCCTCCTCTCTCCATTGCTTTCTGGTCCCCTTTATTGGCCAGTTTGGCTGGAGGATGGGGGCAGGAGGCATTGACATAGAGAATGAAAGAGCCGACCCTGAGTCAGACTAGCCAGGAATCAGACCTGACTGTATCAATTACTAGCTGGACCAGAGCCTCATGTGAAACTTTGGTCCATACTGTCTAGAGCAGACCATAAGCTCCTGCAGGGCAGGAATAGGGCCTTACTCATGTCCGTGCCCCACAGCCCTTGGTACAGCACCTGGGACAGAAGGCGCTGTGTGAACCCTCCTCCATCCACTCCAGGAGGCCTGGCTGAGCTAGGAGGGTTGACACAGCCTGGAGCCCATGGTTCTCTGTAGGAAGGAGTGTCCAGAGCCCTCCCAACATCAAGCCCTGGGCAGGCCGGAGAAGGGGAGGGGCCTAGTAAGCCCAGGAGCTGCAGCAGAAAGATGGGGAGGTGGCTGACACAAAGAGCTACACCAGGGACCGTGGCCTCTGAAGGCTGGTTGATGGGACTCCAGGTGCTGAGGGTACGACTGAGGTGTTTCTTGGTGCATCTCTGTGGGGAGAGACATGGAGGATTAGTCTGGATTTAGAGAACATACCCGGTCCCAGTGCAGCCGGCTTGCATTTGTCAAGAGACACTATTTGTTT